TGCGCCATCTTGTGACAAAAACAAAGATCAGGGTACTGACCTTTTGGGACAGGGAATTGAACCACACAGCCTGTCATCCACAGGAGGTTGATGGCACCTTAATTGGGGAGGACAGGCTCATGGTAATGGCTGGAGCGGAATTAGTGGAATGGTATCAAATACATCAAACACATGGTTGGAATGGTTTCCATGTGTTTGATGCCATTCCATTTGCTCCGTTCCAGCTGTTATTATGAGCCGTCCTCCCCTCAGCAGCCTCCACTGACGTCATCTGATGCAAGTGACCCACTGCATAGGGTTCCACTCATTGAGCTATAGGGTGCATGCTCAGCCCCCTCCTGTACTCCCTGTTCACCCATGATTGGTGGCCACGCACGTCTCCAACTCAATCATCAAGTTTGCAGATGACACAACAGTGGTAGACCTGATTACCAACAACAACGAGACAGCCTACAGGGAGGAGGTGAGAGCCCTGGCGGGGTGGTGCCAAGAAAATAACCTCTCCCTCAACGTCATCTAAACGAAGGAGCTGATCGTGGACTTCAGGAGACAGCAGAGGGAGCACACCCCCCATCCAAATCGACGGGACCACAGTGGAGAAGGTGAAAAGCTTAAAGTTCCTCTGCGTACACATCACTGAGAATCTGGAATGGTCCACCAACACAGACAGTGTGGTGAAGAAGGCGCAACAGTGCCTCTTCAACCTCAGGAGGCTGAATAAATGTGTCTTGGCCCCTAAGACCCTCACAAAGATGCACCATTGAGAGCATCCTGCCGGGCTGTATCACCGCCTGGTATGACAACTGCACCATCCGCAATGGCAGGGCTCTCCAGAGGGTGGTGCGGTCTGCCCAATGCATCACCGAGGGCACACTGCCTGCCATCCAGGACACCTACCGGCACCCGGTGTCACAGGAAGGCCAAAAAGTTCATCAAGGACCTCAGCCACCCGGGCCACAGCCTGTTTACCCCACTACAATCCAGAAGGTGAGGTCAGTTCAGGTGCATCAAAGCTGGGACCGAGAGTCTGCAAAACAGCTTCTATCTTAAGGCCATCAGACTGTTAAATAGTCACCACTAGCCGGCCTCCGCCCAGTAACCTGCCCTGAACTTTAGTCACTGTCACTAGCCGGCTACCACCCAGTTACTCTACCATGTACCTTAGAGGCTGCTGCCCTATGTACATAAACATGGAACACTGGTCACTTTAATAATGTTCACATACTGTTTTACCCACTTCATATGTATATACTGTATTCTAGTCTATCTATTGTTGTACATATACTATTCTTCAGATATATGACATATTCTATTCATATACTGTCCATGTTGTCTATACATCCCATCACATATATATAAACAGTACCAGTCAAAAGTTTGGACACACCTACTCATTCAAGGGTTTTTCTTTATTTTTTACTATTTTTTATATTGTAAATAACAGTGAAGACATCAAAACTATGAAATAACACATATGGAATCATGTAGTAACCAAAAAAGTGTTAAACAAATCAAAATATATTTTAGATTTTAGATTCTTCAAAGTGGTCACCCTTTGCTTTGATGACAGCTTTGCACACTCTTGGCATTCTCTCAACCAGATTCACGAGGAATGCTTTTCCAACAGTCTTGAAGGAGTTCCCACATATGCTGAGCGCTTGTTGGCTGCTTTTCCTTCACTCTGCGGTCCAACTCATCCCAAACCATCTCAATTGGGTTGAGGTCATGTGATTGTGGAGGCCAGGTCATCTGATGAAGCACTCCATCACTCTCCTTCTTGGTCAAATAGCCCTTGCACAGACTGGAGGTGTGTTTTGGGTCATTGTACTGTTGAAAAACAAATTATAGTCCCACTAAGCACAAACCAGATGGGATGGCGTATCACTGCAGAATGCTGTGGTAGTCATGCTGGTTAAGTGTGCCTTGAATTCTAAATAAATCCCCAACAGTGTCACCAGCAAAGCACCCCCACACCATCACACCTCCTCCTCCATGCTTCATGGTGGGAACCACACATGCAGAGATCATCCGTTCCCCTACTCTAAGTCTCTCAAAGACACGACGGTTTGAACCGAAAATCTGAAATTTGGACTCATCAGACCACAGGACACATTTCCACCAGTCTAATGTCCATTGCTCATGTTTCTTGGCCCAAGCAAGTCTCTTATTATTATTGGTGTCCTTTAGTAGTGGTTTCTTTGCAGCAATTCGACCATGAAGGCCTGATTCACACAGTCCCCTCTGAACAGTTGATGTTGAGATGTGTCTGTTACTTGAACTATGTGAAGCATTTATTTGGGCCGCTATCTGAGGTGCAGTTAACTCTAATGAACTTATCCTCTGCAGCAGAGGTAACTGGGTCTTCCATTCCTGTGGCGGTCCTCATGAGAGCCAGTTTCATCATAGCACTTGAAGAAGCGTTCAAAGTTCTTCACATTTTCCGTATTGACTGACCTTCATGTCTTAAAGTAATGATGGACTGTCGTTTCTCTTTGCTTATTTGAGCTGTTCTTGCCATGATATGGACTTGGTCTTTTACCAAATAGGGCTATCTTCTGTATACCACCACCCCTACTGTCACAAGCGTCTAAGGAGGAGGACCAAGGCGCAGCGTTGAAGGCAAACATATTCTTTATTTAATAAATGATCACACGATCAAAACAACAAAACGAAACCGTGACGTCCCTGGTTACATACACCAACCAACACGGAACAGGAAACCACAAACACAAAGTGAAAGACAGACAGTTAAATATGGCTCCCAATCAGAGACAACCAGCTGACACTCGTTGCCTCTGATTGGGAGTAACTCAGGCCAACATAGAAATACAAACATATAATTACACACCCTGGCTCAACATAACAGTGTCCCCAGAGCCAGGGCGTGACACCTACCTTGTCACAACACAACTGATTGGCTCAAACACATTAAGAAGGAAAGAAATTCCACAAATTAACATTTAAGAAGGCACACCTGTTAATTGATATGCATTCCAGGTGACTACCTCATGAAGCTGGTTGAGAGAATGCCAAGAGTGTGCAAAGCTGTCATCAAGGCAAAGGGTGGCTACTTTGATTACTACATGATTCCATATGTGTTATTTCATAGTTTTGATGTCTTCACTATTATTCTACAATGTAGAAAATAGTAAAAATAAAGAAAAACCCTTGAATGGGTAGGTGTGTCCAAACTTTTGACTGGTAGCGTATATTTTTATACTCCGGACTCCGACATTGCTCGTCCTAATATTTATATATTTCTTAATTCCATTATTTTACTTTTTTGATTTGTTTGTATTGTTGTGTATTGTTAGATATTACTGCACTGTTGGAGCTAGGAACACAAGCATTTCCGCAATAACATCTGCTAAATATGTGTATGCGACCAAAACATTTGATTTGATTCGATTTAGATTTACCACTGCATAAAGTTACTGGGCTTAGACTACCCCCTGGTGGTCTTTACAATAAGTGGAATGCATGCATTAATTGATCATTAGTGGAAGCTGAACGACTTCATGAACTATTTGTATCCGGTGAACAATGGAGTTTGTGGCTAATTTAAACAAACATTAATCATCCTTGAATTATTATTAAGAAAATATTCAAATCTATGATCCTCTTAGCTTGACAGATCTTAGGGCCATACTATGGGCAGTTACTTTCTGAGGCAATTGGGGTCATGACTCATGCATAGAGGCTGTAACATAAGTTAATCATTTATAAATAGGCCTATGACCTACTACTAGGTGCTCATTTTTTCATGGCTTTTTTCATCATACAAGATAGTAAAGTCAAAGACAGTACAGTATGAAGATAAACTAAAACTGCTTCTACAATATAAATCCCTTATCACGCTTGTGGGCGATGTCATGGCAACGTTGGATAGCTAAGCGCATGCGTAGAAATACGTCATTGGTCTAACGGTCTCACGCACCGAACTGCGCATGTGCAGGCTAACTCAAAGGCTCTCCTTCGATGTACAGTTGTTTGGACGAAATTAAAACGTGTCAGTTTGTCACTTTCACGAGGTTGGATTAAAAACATGCTCAACTACTTAAGACATTGGCTCCAATCTAGGCTGTGCCTTTAAATTTCGATAAAATTAACAACTAAGGAAGAACCTTTCACTTCTCTCATTGACTTCTCAAATCCCAAACCCCGGGCTGGTCTGTTTGGTCTGTTTCGCAAGCGTTCCCAGATTTCTCGCGATGTTGCGCCTCTGGGTTTAGAAACTCTGTGGTAAAGTACAGTACGTTAATACATTAAATAGCCACCAGAGGACACACTTTTTCCTGGAAGAGAACCTTAATGTCCCCACGCCTGCCCAGTGCACGCTGTATCGGTAATGTCTAGATGCTAGATGAGATACAGCTTTTGTCAAATTTCAAATCAAATCACATTTTATTTGTCACATGCGCCGAATACAACAGGTGAAATGCTTACTTACAAGCCCTAACCAACAATGTAGTTTTAAGAAAATAGAGTTAAGAAAATATTTACTAAATAAACTAAAGTAAAAAATGTTTTATTTTTAAGTAACACAATAAAATAACAATAATGATGTTAAATACAGGGGGTACCGGTACCGAGACAATGTGCGGGGTTACAGGTTAGTCGAGGTACTTTGTAAATGTAGGTAAGGGTAAAGTGACTATGCATAAATAATAAACAGCGAGTAGAAGCAGTGTAAAAACAAATGTTTTGCATTTTAGCTAACCCTACCCCTTTTACTAATCTTAACTTAATTTTCCTAACCCGCTGCGTAAATTCTCCTTAACCTGATATGAAAAGTCCAATTTGACAAAAGCTTTATCCCTTCTAGACAAAACCCTCAATACCCCCTCCCCTCAGACCAACGTGACAGGAATCAGGATTGGGGTTTGTTTTCAGTTGGTCTTAGATAAACAAGCCGTGCTGCTGGTCCTACAGACAATATAGATCTACTGATGAGGAAGTAGCATCGGCTAGGCAAGTCGGTTACATACAGATCTAGAGTAATGGCAACAGTTAAACCAGATGACAGACTGACAAGTTCTCAGGGCTTTATGTGCGTTGGTTTTGCGGGAGTTTTCAGTAAAACTGTCACGTCGCCTCTAGAGGTGGTGAAAATCAAGAGTCAAGTAGGCACATTTCACTGTAAAAAAGGCTTTCTGCACAGCTTTAATGTCGTCTACCAGAATGAAGGCCTACGAGGATTTTGGAAGGGGAACCTCGTCTCCTGTCTCCGCCTGTTTCCTTACAGCGCCGTCCATTTGGCAACATATAAACAGTGAGTAAATAAGCAATTTGTTGTGTTGTTTCTGAGTTATGATAACGTTAATCTTAAAACAACTATGTAGTTAGTTTCCTCCTAGCTAGCTAACATAACGTTAGAGCTAGCCGTATCAGCGCTGCCAACTCCCACGCATTGGCCTATTATATCTCACGCATTGAAAAGTACCGCTTTTATTAATCCATTGTATAATCAGCGCGTTAATTTGAAACTGTGCTCCAAATTGTTTTGAAATCGGAGCATCTGCGCCTGTAATTTAACATCACGAGCGGAATCTCTATCAATGTCCTGTCTTGCCACAACACTGAACTGCGGCACATTGAAGCATATGATTGGTCTAGTTTGAAAGAAACGCCCCTCAAGATTAGAGTGGAGCTGAATAGAGAGAGAACGTTCTCCACTGAGATTATACAACTGTAAAAAGAGCAGCACGGTAGCGCTGTTTTATGTACAATGTTGTCAACAAAATTAGGTCGCTGTTACTCCCGTCCCTATTGCAGAATGCAGCCTTTTGATAGCATGTACTAAAGTCGATTTAATCCACACGTGCATTAGTCTGATTGGCCTGCTTGTGTCTTTGAAAATGAATTATATGAGGCATTTTTGCAGCCATTCATGGACAGTTTTGAATAAGTCATACAAATAAGCATTGAATAGTAAATGCTCCAGGAATCGAATATAATTTTTGACATTTTAGTATTGTGCACATGCTAGGCAGAGATGGTAGGGGGACTCACAACTCATAAACGCATCATATTTTGTCTATGTAGAGTAAGATGATGGCAAAGATCTTCAACTACTATATTAGGTATAAACCACCTGAATATTGATATTCATTCGATTTTTCTTGAGGGTTAGGTGATCTTGAGAAATGAATTGTTATAACAATAACATTTTCAAACACCCAGCATTTGGGAAACATAAATAAGGGGTGGCCAACCCTCATGGAGAGCAAGAAGGATTTTCTTTCAGACATATTTTAAAGAGATAGTCCACCCAAATGACAAAATATAAAATGTTTGTGGCTTAACTTGAAAGCAGTCTATGGACAAGCAGACTGCAATCTATGATTTGGTTACCCTCTGCCATCAACCATTAATATTAACATTTCCTGTGCAGAGCCTTGGTGTAGTGGTAACACTCCCCTGCACGTGTCGTATACAACTTTCTACCTGAGAACAGGGATCAATACCTGCTTCCAATCTTCCCACTGTTTCTAGCATTTGTCTGTCTCCCTGTCTCATTTCATTACTGTCTGAATAAAGTGTCAAACCACCTAAAAAATATGTTTGCATCCTGAATACACCACATTTTCCACCCTGGTCATAGGCCTAAGCCATTACAAAATACATAGAACTGCAGGAAATTAGCTTTAAAACAGTAAAATATTCCTGAGGGAGGACCCCCAAAATAAAATACAATTTTATTGGTCAAATACACATATTTAGCAGATGTTATTGCAGGTGTAGCGAAATGCCCCAGTCCCCAGTCTAGGGATTGTGTCAGGGGGCAATGATATTCACATAGCAAATCTCATTCCAAGCTTTCTTCAAAAGTTGGCTGCCCTGCAGTATACTGAACAAAAATATAAATGCAACATGTAAAGTGTTTGTCCCATGTTTCATGAGCTAAAATAAAAGATCCCAGAAATGTTCCATACGCACAAAAAGCGTATTTCTCTCAAATGTTGTGCACAAATTAGTTTACAACCCTGTTAGTGACGATTTCTCCTTTGCCAAGATAATCCATCCACCTGACAGGTGTGGCATATCAAGAAGCTGATTAAACAGCATAATCATTACAGAGGTGCACCTTGTGCTGGGGACAATGAAAGGCCACTCTAAAATGTGCAGTTTTGTCACACAACACAATGCCACATATGTCTCAAGTTTTGAGGGAGCGTGCAATTGGCATGCCGAATGCAGGAATGTCCACCAGAGCTGTTGCCAGAGAATTGAATGTTCATTTCTCTACCATAAGCTGCCTCCAACATCGTTTTAGAGAATTTGGCAGTACGTCGAACCGGCCTCACATCCGCAGACATTGACATTTACATTTTAGTCATTTAGCAGACGCTCTTATCCAGAGCGACTTACAGTTAGTGAGTGCATACATTTATTTTTTTATACTGGCCCCCCGTGGGAATTGAACCCACAACCCTGGCGTTGCAAACGCCATGCTCTACCAACTGAGCTACATCCCTGCCGGCCATTCCCTCCCCTACCCTGGACGACGCTGGGCCAATTGTGCGCCGCCCTATGGGTCTCCCGGTCACGGCCGGCTACGACAGAGCCTGGATACGAACCAGGATCTCTAGTGGCACAGCTAGCACTGCGATGCAGTGCCTTAGACCACTGCGCCACTCCAGCCCATGACCTCATCCAGATTTTTCACCTGCGGGATTGTCTGAGACCAGCCACCCGGACAGCTGATGAAACTGTGGGTTTGCACAACCTAAGAATTTCTGCACAAACTGCCAGAAACCATCTCAGGGAAGCTCATCTGCATGCTGGTCGTCCTCACTAGGGTCTTGACCTGACTGCAGTTCGGCATCATAATCCCATACTTGGGATATCACTTTTCAATAGGAAATGTTCACAAATCGCTGGAGGACGTCTTTAGTATTCTAATGTATTATGGTGGATTCTCAATGGAGAACATGATATGTTTGCATAGTATGTTTACACTCTATGAACAATTTAATTAGAATTAGATGCTCTGTCTGTTACAGTTATGTAACACAGTTACTTACTACTATAATTTCTGGAATTATCATATTGAAAAACATGAAGCCATAATCGTACATATATTCACTGGCTATACCTGCCTCACATGCATTGATGAAAGTGAATATATTATCCAGATAGGCTCCTTATCAAAATAATTAAGAACCAAAACATTGACCTCTGTGTTTTTGGCTTTCCAGGATCGTCCACCTCCACATGGATGAATTGGGCTACATTTCTCAGTGGAGGGCCATTTTCGCTGGTGGGCTAGCTGGTATCAGTGCTGCGCTGGCCACGTACCCTCTGGAGGTGGCAGAGACTCGCCTCATAGCTCAGAACTGCAGAGAGCCCACATACAGGGGGGTGGTCCACACGCTCTCCAAGATATACCAGACCGAAGGCCTTCGAGCACTCTACAGGGGCTTCTCTCTCACAGTCCTAGGTATACTACAGAAATGTGGAGAAAGATATTCCTAAGAAAAGCACCACAATGATTCAGTATAACTCAATGTTTCCCAAACTCAGTCCAAGGGGTGCACGATTTGGTTTTTGCACTAGCACTACACAGCTGATTCAAATAATCAACTGATCATCAAGCTTTAATTATTTGAATCAGCTGTGTAGTGAGTGCTAGGGCAAAAACCAAAACGTGCACCCCTTGTGGTCCCCAGGAATGAGTTTGGGAAACGCTGGTATAACTTATTGTATAACTCTATATAAAGTGTCCAGTCTGCTTACTTGTGAAACACCCTTTGCCCCTCTTACAGCCTCTTGAGTTTTCATTGTTGTTTTTAATTTGGAACTGCCAAACAAATAATATTTATTTCAATAATTTATTTAAGTGGTTCTATGGGGCAGTGTTGGCATAGCTAGTAACTGTGGATCTATTCTGCTACAGGTGCGTTTCCCTTCTCCATTGGTTGCTATGCAGTCTACATCAACTTGGATAAACTGTGGCGGGAGCCCCAATTCCGGTTCACTCCCCTTCAGAACTTCATAAATGGCTGTGTAGCGGCAGGAATAGCTCAAACCTTCTCCTACCCCTTTGAAACTGTGAAAAGGAAAATGCAGGCAAGTGCACTCAACTCATTGGGCCATTTAATGAGACGCAACCAGATTGGTAATACCACATCTGTCCATAGGGTGGTGGATTTGTACACATTTGTACCGGTACCTCTGATCGGTGCATACCGGTAGTAAAACACTTGTCCTTACATTTTTTGTTTTATTTAACTAGGCAAATCAGTTAAGAACAAATTCTTATTTACAATGACGGCTTACCAAAAGGCCTTCTGAGGGGACGGGGGCTGGGATTAAAAATAAAATAAAAAAACACTTGCCCTTGATAAAATAGCCATCGAGTGCATCTGTTTTTTCTACTTTCTAAACAAAATGCAACATAGAAGCTTAGAAATTATTATAAGATTAATAAGACAGTTTCTTTGTACACTTTGTAGACAATAACTTACCGTAGTTATTGAATTGTAAGTTACCATAGTTTGAGCCGAAGTATAAGTTAATGTCTCCCCTCACCTGTCCTTCTCTCTATGTAGAGGACACATAGGGCTCAGTAGGACTTTTATGAAGGACAGAATACTACATCCGTTTTCATCAACTTGTCATTAGTGACCTCAAGGTGCTGCGGCAGCTGAGCATGTGAATGCTGTTCAGGGTCTGCCTGCAATATAGATAAGTTATCTAAATATAGCTGACGGCTATCACACAGTGGACAGTCTCAGTCCTATTGAGAAGCCTATAAAACAAACTGCACCTCTCTCTAATGCCCTCTGCCTAGTTTCAGACACACAGAATTAACACAACGACATGAATCTAAGGCTGCAGCCACAAATCATTTTTGTTTACATGTTGCATAGAAGTCTATCAGATGTTTAGGGCAAAACAAGAAGTCTCAAGTAGAAACAGATGACACAACCCACAAGCGAGAATGTTTAAAGAAGCTTGCTTGAGGCATGGGTGCAGTGGTGGAAAAAGTACCCAATTGTCATACTTGAGTAAAAGTAAAGATGCCTTTAATAGAAAATGACTAGAGTAAAAGTGAAAGTCACCCAGTAAAATACTACTTTAGTAAAAGTTAAGTTAAGTTTCTATTAATATAATTGCTAAACTCAGTTCAAATTCCTTATAAGCAAACCAGACGGCACCATTTTCTAGATTTTATTATCTTGGATTGAAGTGCCCTCTAAAATGAGAATGCATCCAGCGTTGAGCCAGTTAAGCGATTTAATGCTTGACAAAAAAAGAGCAGAGTTTGTCTTGGGACGTGTAAGATACTGACGTCTTGTGAGAGTACTGCTTGAGACCACACCCACATTTGCTCAGTTCATTAGTTTTCACTTACATCCCAAGTTACAAATGGCCCTTAGCACAGATCCCCGGTCAGTTTGCGCAATTATCATACATTTCAGGAATTTCAATTCAAGGAAATAATTATATTCATTCCATAGTCTTTCTTACTACCTGGATCACACACGCTTTTATGAGGGTCAGTGCTATCCGGGATCCTTCGGACATCCATACCATAAATCGTACCCTTACCATAACCATTTTAAATGTCAACTTCAATGCCCCCCATTGAAGTTGACATTTAAAATGGGAATTTCTGTCCCTGTCTCTCGCCAGGCCCAGAATCCTCGGCTCCCGCATTACGGTGGGGCTGATGTCCACTTCACTGGAATGCTGGACTGCTTCAGGCAGGTGATCAGAAACAAGGGCATCCTGACATTGTGGAGTGGCATCACAGCCAACATGGTCAAGGTATGACAACCTATGTCATGTTCCCATTATAATTTTTTTTGAGAGAGAGAGAGACTGACTATATTACCCTTTGTGGGTAATTCACAACAGGGATAATACAAGTTGGCTGACTTGGGTCTGTTTCTTTCATCTCCAAATGGCAGTTTAGTTGTTGTTTGGTTTACTGGTGTAAAATCTCCTCATGAACAGTCTAACAAGTAAATTGTGTACTTTGTGGACAATATTATTATAACCAGGCCCTACTACCAGGGCAGATTCTAACCTACCTCTTCACATTTTATACAGAGTCAAAAGCAATTGATCTATTGAGCCAACTGACATCTTCCCTGTTTTTCTTCCTTAGATTGTCCCCTACTTTGGCCTTCTCTTCAGCTGCTTTGAGATGTGCAAGCAGGTCTGTCTGTACCGCAACGGGTACATTGTGTCTCCATTGAGCTATAAGTTGGCACCAGGAGTGGACCAGAGCATGGGCCCCACTGAGGTGGAAGAGGTGAAGAGGTACCTGAAGAATAGGAACTTTCAGTCACAGCAAGGAAGTCGCTGGTAAAACTGGTGAAAAAAAAAAAAACATTACCAAAAAAAACGATGGAACAAAGACGTCTGGATTTCTGAAGAGGAGGATGACCATTAGTATAGGAAAGTGTCTGAACGATGAAAAGGAGTCAGGAATATTTGTTGGAATTCAATGCTTTGAAGATGACAATTTGGTATTTTACAGATTTGTGTTTGTGTATTAGCAACTATTTCAGAATCAGAGGTAGATCCATTGATATTTGAAAGTTGCAATGCAATCATAGGATTGCACTTCTATAATTGACACATGGAAAAAAACTTTTAACTGTTTGTTCAGCAATTCCTCATTCAGAGTTTAAGTATTTTTTAAACTTTGTTATACAGTTTTTTGACAGTTATCTCTGTGTTATTACTACAGTTTATTCATGCTTATGGGCTGCAGGTAGCCTAGCGTTTAAGAGCTTCGAGCCAGTAACCAAAAGGTTGCTGGTTTGAATCCCTGAGCTGTCGATGTGCCCTTGAGCAAGGCACTTAACCCTAATTGCTCCTGTAAGTCGCTCTGGATAACAGCGTCTGCTAAATGACAAAACATTGTAAATGTTATGGTGCTGACCTGGTTCTAACAATGGTATTGGCCTTACATAATGGCCATGAAGAGGAACACAAAGCACAAACCTGTTATAAGATGGAATTATCTTACAATTGCAAATGAATGCTTTTTTCATTATATTCGTAATGTAGTAATTACTATTTTAACAGACTTGGGCATATAATATTTATGTGCCTTAAGGTTTCCTTATTTATTATAGGGCTTATTTCGACGACTGTTTTAATTATGATTGGTAGTTATGTAATTTCACACAAAGTATCTGATTGAGTCCAAGACATTATCAGTTGCTAACTTTCATAGCACATACTGTATCATTGTGTGTTGTGAACCTAGCAATAAGATTGTAACTGAAGCACTCCAGTGTCACTGAGATTTAAAGGGGAAGGGAAACACTAGGCTTTAGAATGCCAGTTCACTGTAACTAACTCCTAAAGTGTTTCCATTCCCCTTTAAGATTACGTGTATACAGTATGTAATACATTTGATGGATGAAACCATGCAAATGTATAGTTAATTATTTTTGATTGAGATGATTCAGAATTATTGAAGTGAATTTTACTTGAACAGTCATTGTAATGGCTGGTATAGTGACTGTGGCTGATATATGTACTGTACATCAACGCACAATTATATTCCTTTGCTAAGCAAGGAGGTGTGGCTCTCCTGAATATGGGTTGACAATGTATGGATGACAACTCAAATTTCATTTGTACTTATACAAAGGAAATGAATGGAGCAATTGCTCCCTCAGTATCATATTCGGCAGGACACTACATTCAGAAGAATGTCTCAGATGGAAATGTTGAATACAGAATACAGAATGGGTGTACACATGTAGTTCTCTCCTTCATAATTTCTATCTCAAAGGCTCTAAGCGGTGCACCCTACAGAGAATGCCCTAGTCCGGTGACTGTAACCTGATCACCTACAGTTCCCCCAGTGCCAGCTGACCCCACCACCTTACTACAGTAGGCCTATAGACAGCAGCATTTCATTTTCCCAAAATATGTAAGTTGTTGAATGGATTTTTGAGGAGCAGACACATTCTTTTTTTTTTGTCCCAAGGAAGTTTGATCACAGGACTGACTCATTATTGTCACTTTGTAGGACTGTAAGATAAATTGTGTCAATGTCATAATAATAATATAACATATCAATTAAAATAATATCAGATCTGCTTGACCATGGTATTTTATCTAAAATGAATTTGATCTACAAGTTGATCTTGTGAGAAACTGCAGTCAAGGACATTTTAACCTGTATCTAAGTGCCCTCTCACAGCTGATGATTAACTCATTAGTAGACAGGAGTTTCAGCTGCTCCAAGCTGCCATGCTTTTCACATGACCTTGGGTCCATAACTCAACAACCTAAAGATTGGTTGTTAAGGCATAATCATAGTTTTATGAGTGTTATTCACTCACCATCAACCATGTAGGCCTACTGCTTCTACAACCTATTGAATGACATGAAAGCTAAAAGTACTATTTTAAACTTTGGATATAACTTTGATGTTATCACATGTATTATTATAGGCCAACCTTTCATGTATGATATTAATAAAACAAATGTTTTGAAATAAATAAATAATTTTGAGCACAACGACGCAGCTGAGTTCACATTCACGAATACAGGACAAATCTCTCATCTTTCAGGCGAGGGGACGATCATAAAATGGGTTTCCGCCCACTAAATCCAACAGCGCACCAATGGCATGCTGCCTGCCAGCTCCCGTTTTGTCTCGCGAACACAGTGGTATTAAATCCGCTCTCAACTAAATGAATCGGCCATTTCGACTGAGCCGGCATACCCCAGCAGTCCTTTCGTTGAACGGGAAGGTTTCCGTGTAACATCATCCTCGATAACAGCCTAAAATGAATGAGACCGTCATCTCGTTCGGCAAGGACTTCCTGGCTGGTGGTATTTCAGCTGCCATCTCCAAAACAGCTGTAGCCCCTATTGAAAGAATCAAGCTTCTTCTTCAGGTAAATTTGACTGGCTTTTCAGAAATTGAATGTATTAATGTTATCTAACTAAGTTAGTTAACGTTAGTCCTTGACTCTTTGCAGTTTCTATCAAGAAGATCACTATCTCCTTGGAGATAAAATGCAATGTCCTTTTAGATAAAATGGCATGGTCAAACAGATCTATCAATTATCATATTATTTATAATTATATATCTGACGTTAATGTTATTAGTGACAGACAGTAAGTTAACTTGTTAACGTTAGGAGCTAACTCCAATGTCTCTTTTTTTTAACCTGGGTTAACTAGCTAACTTGGCTAATGACATTGGTGTGTTACAAAGATGTGTGACACTTCCATTTTGGTCCCTTGTCGCGTGAGACTGTCAGTAAAGTAGTCCACCGGTGTCAGTGTCTTGTCTTGGAATTTGGTTTAACTAGCTTTTAGCTTGCTTGCTGCCAAGGACTATTTCGCAACCACGCAAATTGACTTGTAAAAGACACCGTGTTCGTCCTATGATCATTGTCATACTGTTTAACTAACTTGGACATCGCAAATTGTGTCCTTGTCCATCGTCATCAAATATGGCGCAGCTAGTAGTTACTAGGCCCGATAAATTGCCAAGGTCGCAACAAACGGAGGCTTCATCCTGTGTGAGCTGAGGCCTAGCGAGGACCAAACTTGTGCGGAGGCGGATCCTACATTGTGAATGTTGAAAGGCGAGATGTGATTGGTGCGGACTAGTTTCTTGATTTTTGCTACTACTATCAATGTACCGGTATCCACAATGTTGCCCTAGGGAGTTTGAGTGGAGTTTGCGCAAGGGGTGGCAGGTAGCCTAGTGGTTAGTGTTGGGCCAGTAACCGAAAAGTCGCTGGTTTTGGAAACCCGAGTTAACAAGGTGAAAAATCTGTCGATGTGCCCTTGAGCAATGCACTTAAACCTAATTTGTTCCAGGGGCGATCTGTTAACACAAGACGTTTGGCTGCACCTCTGGTGTATGTGACAAAACATTTTGTTGTTTGCCCATGTTTCATTACCATGGGAAGCATCGTCAGGGGTGTTGGCTACTTGTCTTTGTTTATTTAGTTGGCAACTTTGCTAAGAACATTGACGGTTGTGCAATGATTGAAGGGCACTCAACCTGTTTAACTCCCCATATAGCTAGGCCTTTTTGGTGTATATTTGTCATTTAACAGCAGTTTCATTTTCTCGTCAAATGTTTTGTAAATGTATAGTATAAGCAGGAGTTGGATTTTGATTTGTCTTTTTGATTACAGGTGCAACATGCTAGCAAACAGATCACCGTTGACAAGCAGTACAAGGGTATCATGGATTGCGTCGTCCGTATCCCCAAGGAGCAGGGCTTCCTGTCATTCTGGAGAGGAAACTTGGCCAACGTCATCAGATACTTCCCCACCCAGGCCCTCAACTTTGCATTCAAGGACAAATACAAGCAAATCTTCCTGGATGGCGTGGACAAGAAACAGTTCTGGAGATACTTTGCTGGTAACCTGGCCTCTGGCGGTGCTGCTGGAGCCACCTCCCTGTGTTTTGTGTACCCCCTCGACTTCGCCAGAACCCGACTGGCTGCTGATGTCGGTAAGGCCGGTGCTGGGCGTGAGTTCAACGGCCTGGGTGACTGCTTGAAGAAGATCTACAAGGCTGACGGTCTGAAGGGCCTCTACCAGGGCTTCTCAGTGTCTGTCCAGGGCATCATCATCTACAGAGCTTCTTACTTTGGCGTCTATGACACAGCCAAGGGTGAGTCCATGGGCTGCTCTGAGCACAGGCCTTAATCATATCTGAGTAGAGGAATTGCAAGTGTCTGTTTGTTTCACAAAGAATCTTAAAGCCTGCTTAATCCTCTTGGTTTTTCTCTGTAGGCATGCTGCCAGATCCTAAGAACGCAAGCATCTTGGTCAGCTGGGCCATCGCGCAGTCTGTGACTGCAGTCGCCGGTCTTACATCCTACCCATTCGATACCGTTCGTCGTCGCATGATGATGCAGTCTGGGCGCAAAGGAGGTAATTGTCAACTTTTGAACACTTGTCTATTTTGTTATCAAGTTGTGCATTCACCGTCATGCTATCCACCGACAGTGAGGTACTACTTGGGCTTACCATTCAGCCAAGGCAGAGGTATGACCTATCTTACATGTGTTTTGCAGGTGACATCATGTACACTGGCACCATTGACTGCTGGAAGAAGATTGCGAGGGATGAGGGTGGCAAGGCCTTTTTCAAAGGAGCCTGGTCCAACGTTCTCCGAGGCATGGGAGGTGCCTTCGTGCTAGTCTTGTACGATGAGTTGAAGAAGGTCCTCTAAATTGTTTATGTCCACCCATAAATGTTGTGAGATGTTTAAACTGTAACATATCTTGTACATTTGGAAGGACCGTCAAATTCCACCTTGTTTATAGGGACCAACTAGTATGTCGGTGCTAGTTGTACTGGGAAAATCGGTTATGCACTTTTTAATTGGCCCAATGTTTGTTTTGTTTGCCCCCCTTCACCAGAATGTAATTCCCATAAAACAAAGGTGACTGTGCCAGATCTTTAAATGTCAACCGGTTTCATCAAGATGGTCTGTTTATTTAGTCGATGCTGTAACAATAAAGGCAACCTACTGAATGAACCTACAATTAGCTTTTCACTTTTTGTCTGTGGAAGTAGCAACCCTGAATGGCGTGTAGTGTTTCTCCTGGCTTCCCTTCAGTGTGGTTTCTCTTGAGTGCCAACTGGTGTCTTATTCCTGGAGGTGTTACCTTAAGATCTGGGTTGTCCTCGACGGTTGTGGTTGGGTTCCTGCCAAAGTCAGCTGACTGGAGCTTGGACTGGCTGGTTGTAATCTATACAAGCTGGTGATACGTTTCCAAACACGGACGACCTGAAAGAAACCGCTGCAGAGGGACTTATGACAAGAAGTGGGTGGCTTACGTTTTTACCTGATGCAAAATGCTTCTTTGAACACAAACGACTCATTCGGAAACTAAAAGTGACATCCGGTGCAGAGGAATCCAGGATTACCTGGTGAAGTGGATTACTTCAGGCTTCTAAATATACTTATCTCCCATCAAGCCTCTTCTGACTCGGAACTGGTGAGATGCTGGACCATAACCTGTGTGGCCAACTGTGTAGATTAACCAAAATGACAACCATGCTCAAAGTTCATGATTATTGGGCGGCAGGTAGCTTAGTGGGTAAGAGCGTTGTGCCAGTAACTGAAAGGTCGCTGGTTCTAATCCCCGAGCCGACTAGGTGAAAAATCTGTCGATGTGCCCTTAAGCAAGGCACTTAACCCTAATTGCTCCTGTAAGTCGCTCTGGATAAGAGCGTCTGCTAAATGACTAAAATGTAATTGTACCTCTTAAGGATCGGACCCTTTTTTTCAATTTTCGCCTAAAATGACATACCCAAATCTAACTGCCTGTAGCTCAGGACCTGAAGCATGAATATGCATATTCTTGATACCGTTTGAGTGGAAACACTTTGAAGTTTGTGGAAATTTGAAATTAATGTAGGAGAATAACACATTAGATCTGGTCAAAGATAATACAAACAAAACATGGATTTATTCATTTTTGGGTCTATCTTTGAAATGCAAGAGAAAGGCCACAATATAATATTGCAGTTTAGGCGCAATTTAGATTTTGCCGACTAGATGACAGCAGTGTGTGAAGTTTCAGATTGATCCAGTGAAGCATTGCAATACTGGACTATTTTGTATCAAGTCTGCCCAAATGTGCCGAATTGATACATTTTCAAATAAATAACTATAGAACATAAAAATATATAGGAATACAAAATGTAAGTTTACACACCCAGGAATGTCATACATGATGGATCATTAGCTTATACACTAACTTTCACACATCTAGATGGCCGGGCGGAGTGGGTGTGGAGCCAGAGACTGCAAGGGTTCAAACTGTAGAACCCAGTTCCTATATTTGAATATAAAAATTTATTTTATCAAACAAAACTATGCTACATTTTATTTACTCCCTTTTTCCTTCAGACAAGACGGCAGGGAAACTTGTAATGGAGTCAAACCTGAGGTACTAGTAGGAAATAAAATCAGTGGGTGCTAACGTGTTTTGAAGTCTGAGACGTTGATGCTGCTTTAGTGACGTGGCTGAGATTCTTCCAGATACATGATAGCAGCAGCTGTAAAGACCCATTGGCGCCAATCCAAACTTGTGTAATCAAGATGAGTACGGACACTCCTTGCCCTTTTTATATCAACTATGCTGTTACATCAGTGCTGGCTGCAATATATCAGGTCATAATCCCCGTCCTTGGGATACCTTCACTAGCATAGAGGAGCCAGTCAACTAAGTAGGCCTGTCATGAGCTCTGTAGACGTATTGTGTCTAGGACGCTCTTCAATGGCACCCTTAATTTAGCTCCCGACGCCTCAGATTACACATGATTTACCCAGCAGGGTATGGAGTATCTGTAATCTTCCTAATTCCTGCGTGGGAGTTTTAGGAAGTATTCCTTGGCATCAGCTTTGCATCAGGGTCCTTGCTATTCAGGATCCTTGGGTCATCCCAAGCCAGTTGACGTTTAAAATGGTTAGGGCACGTGTCAAACTCATTCCATGGAGGGCCAATTGTCTTCAGGTTTTCACACCTCCCTTGTACTTGATTGATGAAATAAGGTCACTAATTAATAAGGAACTCCCCTCACCTGGTAGTCTGTCTTAATTGAAAGGAAAAAAACAAAAACTCGCATACTCTAGGCCGCCCATGGAATGAGTTTGACACCCCTGGTAGGGTAGGGATGTCCCAAGGAATCCAGATAGCACTAACCATTGCGTCAGTGTAACGCCAGAAATGGTCTAGACTGGTGATCTACCTACAACTTTGACTGGTAACTTTGTAATGTTTCAGCATGTCCTTTCCACCTCTCCATCATTACAACTGAATTAGGAGGCATCAGTGAGTCACTTAGTAGTGTGGCTCAGCGGCATTCAGGTAGATTTATGCTCTATCAGTGTGAGGCATTTTGCAGTGATCCATTTGAGGTCATAGGAGAGCGCTCCAACTAGCACCCTTTCAGTGCCACACCTTTGGAGTGTTTTTTGTAAACCTTTAGTCTATATCCCAATTTGAAAGATATGTCATTAAAATAAAAAGGGACAACGGCCAATATTACAATTCGTCACATTATTATAGGCTGTTTTCAGGTTTAAAAAATAAGCTGATTTTGAAGTGTGGTTATTATTTACTGATAACATTTTTCAAAAGGTGAAACTGGTTTGATCTGCCCTTAACTGTCAAAGAACATGTCGTGCGGATGGATTACATGGTTTTAGCAGATTACTAATCACCACTGGGGGCATGCGCCAGAATCCATTCCTGACTGCCCTGCTGTTTCATAATCCTGTCCTTGCCTGCTGAATTACGTAATAGACTACACACCCCAAACCCAGCGGCGTCCCTGTTTATTCACTGATATGAAAGGAATGTGATTACCGGACCGCAACATTTATTTCAAATCAGGGCCCGTTTTACAGATAGCGATGGAATTTCGGCTTACTAGTGGTTTAAAGATGCATCCTTCCCAAAACACCACGCAGCGAGAACATGTGTCGATATTGAATGGGTCAAAAGAAAGGGAACGCTGCTCTCGGATCAGCTTTCCATTCAAATCTTTCCTTAACATTATAATTATTTCCAATACTGACGACGGACCAACTCCTAGAGAGATATTACCACCTACGGTTGCAAATATTGAGGCGGTTTGTTATAATGCTAAATCCAATGAAAATGACCTCAACATTTGCAACCATCGGTGGTAATATCTCTCTAGGAGCTGATTCCTCGTCAGTTGCTCATTCAGGCAATACTTATTTAATATTTTAATTAGATTCCATATTTTAAATGGCATTTTGGATCTGTATTTATTTTTCATACACTGTTTTTAAACCACCACCAGTGTGGTTTATGCTTCACCTGCCAGCTCATAGAAATGCAGAGAGTGCCATCCTGGGGTGAATGTATGTTACTAGCATTTTATCTATCCTATACACACTGTTGGCATAGCACCAAAGAGTGGTTCATCAACAACAAAAACGTAAACGTTCCTTGGCATGTATACACTTGATTTCTATGACAAATCTATAGTGGTCAATAAATTACATTCCATGAGAGAAACATTATTTTTATCCAAACATGAGTTACATAATTTGTTTAAGAAGTCTCATATGGAAACAAAACATAAACAATGGTCCTTGTGCTAGTGAGGTATCTTATTGACAAAGGCATAGTTGAAGTTTGACAGATTCCTTGGATTTGAACTTGTGTCCACAACAATAAATTGCAGCCACAAAGCATACCAGATAAAAAAAAATCATGGCTATTTTGGTTGGCCTGGGGAATCAGTGGCTTCCTTCAGGTGTTCAGAAACTGCACTTGTAAAACAATGTTTTTGTAGCCATAACAAAATTGTTTTCATGGGTCAGCCTTTCCATAGCAGAGGAGGCTGGTGGGAGGCGCTATAGGAGGACGGGCTCATTCTAATGGCTGGAATGGAGTAAATGGAATGGGATCAAACATATGGAAACCACATGTTTGACTTCGTTCCATTTATTCCATTCCAGCCATTACAATAAGCCTGTCCTCCTATAGCTCCTCCCACCAGCCTCCTCTGGTCCATAAATCAGACCAGTGCCCACCTCAGGCTGCACATCCTGAACAAGCTCAGTCTCAGGTCTGTGTTTGGCACTACACTTGCGATGTGTGGTTAATTAAACAAAACACAGCACATGCTTAGCTCCACCAAGGAAAAAAACATTATGGTCGTAATATCGAATGAACTTTAGTAAATTGATGGGAAAACATGAGGACATTTGGGGAAAATAACCAAAGAGGAGATGTTATCCCCCTATGTGAGTGTACTACACTATTACAGCCTCTTCCTAGATCTCCAGAACTTTGTGGTACAATTGATGCACTCAACCATGTAACCCCTGGATTACTGGATTAAGCCCCAGTCCATCTGTTCATAGTTTGTGGAGGGGGAATGATATTAAATGTTTTAGTTTTGCATTTGCCTCTGGAAAAATGTGGTGCATGCTTCCTCAGGCTTTTTCCCTTTTCAGTCATTTGAAATATTTTAGTATTTTGACGAATTTAGACAAGCTCAGTTGATCCAATTATGGCCTATTGACAATAGTGTGCGACTGCAGCCCGCAATTCGGGGCATTCCTGCATCTGCAGGAACATCCCCTCTAGAGCATCCCATTGGTTCCTACACCTGTATTTGGGGAGTTTCTCCCATTCTTCTCTGCAGATCCTCTCAAGCTCTGTCAGGTTGGAAGGGTAGCATTGCTGCACAGCTATTTTCAGGTCTCTCGAGACCAAGGCCCTTCTCTCCCGATTGTTGAGTTTGGCCGGGTGGCCAGCTCTAGGAAGAGTCTTGGTGGTTCCAAACTTCTTCCATTTAATAATGATGGAGGCCACTGTGTTCTTGGGGACCTTCAATGCTGCAGACATTTTTTGGTACCCTTATATAGACAGGTGTGTGCCTTTCCAAATCATGTCCAATCAATTGAATTGACCACAGGTGGACTCCAATCAAGTTGTAGAAACATCTCAAGGATGATCAATGGAAACAGGATGCACCTGAGCTCAATTTCGAGTCTCATAGCAAAGGGTCTGAATACTTATGTAATAAGGTATTTCTGTTTTTTGTTTTTAATAAAAGTGCAAACATTTCTAAACACCTGTTTTTGCTTTGTCATTATGGGGTATTGTGGGTAGATTGCTGAGGATTTTTCATTTATTTAATCCATTTTAGAATAAGGCTGTAACGTCACAAAATGTCGCAAAAGTCAAGGAGTCTGAATACTTTACAAAGCGTGGATCATCATTATTTGGAAGATATAGATGAATGAGCCAAATCTGTTTATGGTCCAATAACATATTTAAAATAATCCATCTCCCTTGGGGATCGGTTTGGAGAATTTGCACATTTGGATCCAAATTATTGTTAATTAATATCATCAACCCTTTTGAGTTTCTTTGACCATGGGAGAAGTATATTTGCCCCCCACCTTTTCCCACACAACTTCATCTAAAATTGTTGAATGAGTTTCCTGAACAATAGATATTATATTCCTTCTCTTTCAGCAGGTAAATACTGATACTCTATTCTTACGATCAACAAAGCCATTGCAATTAGAACTGGCTATACTTATTTTACCGTTTACCATAATGAGATACAAGTTTCAATTCTATTTATCATAATATACGTTTGTAAACTTACCATTAAAAAGTACCATAATGATTGAGTGTCCATATAGCTGTACCATGATATTTGCATTGCTACTAAGTAAACCTCCAATTGTTCTCCACTTTTCCACCCGCTAAAACCTCCCCCCATCCCTAGTTGGGTTGTCGTCCTAGTGACCGGCACACCGCCCTCATCCCCCCGGATCCCAGGGCCCCATCCTTCCAAAAAAGCACACAGTGCCACCCACAGAACGCCTGTCCCAACTTAAAAATTGACCAATAGAAGTATAAAGAGCGGTTTCTGCAGATGCAGGAATGCCCACATGCCCGCAATTGCACCCTTCTCCCTATAGATGGCATGCCATACCATAATCAGTTCCAGAACAAATGCCAGAGGTGCATGCCCCCCCCCCAAAAAATAAAAATAAAAAAATAAACTCACTCTGACCAATCAGAGCCCTCATGTACAACCAAAACAGTAGGTGGCGGCATGCACCTCTGGCATTTGTTTGCGGACCGCCATAATATCAAAGAAGAAGACCCCGTACAGTATGTGGCGGCAATACACCAGTAGGTGTAGTCTGCCATAAAACTTTAAAGAAGAAGAAGAAGAAGAAGAAGTAGTAGTAGTAGTAGTAGAGCAGAGCAGAGCACTCCTCAGAGTGTACAGTTATTTTCTTTTAATGTTTTGTCAAGACAAGCAAGTTGAAAAGGGCCTTTGCCTTACCATGTTTTTGTAGATGAAGACCTAGACTTTAACTTTGAATAGCGACCTGAATGGAAACTTCATAGTGGAAGGAATGAGACTGGCTTCTTGCAAAGATAGAACATGTACCTGTGGCGCTTCTCTATCGCCATCATTCTTGGGCTTGTATGGTATTTATTTGACTGCGGACAAGTAGCGGCTCAAATTGTTTTATGTTTACTATTTTGGCCATCAACCCCACATTTTTTCATAAAGCCCGGACGGGAAAGTGGCACTCAGACAGACGATGTGGCTGAAGAAGAATTATTCCAGGTAATTAAAAAATTCTATGCATTTGTTATGACTGACTATTCAATTGCACTAAGGTGTTACTTTTTCGTTGCACGAGAGATCATCATTGCTACAATGTATCGCTCATAATGAGATTCAATGTAACAGGACGTGAGCCGTGCATGTTACTTTTGTTTTCAAAATGACAGAAACAATGTAACCAGTTTATGATTCATGTCAGTGATGTCAATGATCACTCATTAATACCACCGAACGTTTTAGTATTTCAACTGATTGGCTGTATGCAATGTATTAAAAGTCGTTAGCCCATGAAACATTATGGTTGTAGTGGTTGTGGGGTCAAATGAAACGTATCAAATTATGATGAAAAGTTATTGACATGGACCTCCTCATGTCCTATATATAGCTGGTGGCAAATTGCCCATATTATTTCAAGTGGAGGGGAAAATAAGGTGATACTTGAATATACATGGGTGATGAAAGGAGGGCTATGACAACACCTGCAAAATAATGGCGTCCCCCTAGCCCAATAATCATTGTACCATCTAAATCGCTGTGAAAGATATTTTCAATAACACCACCTGTTTGAAGCTGGTGGGAGGTTTTCGTCCACCAGCTTCAAACAGCTGTAAAAACTATATTGCAATTAGATGGTACAATGATTCCCTACACCAGGGCTGTCCAACCCTGTTCCTGGAGAGCTACCCTCCTATAGGTTTTCACTCCAACCCCAGTTTTAACCAACCTGATTCAGCTTTTGAACCAGCTAATTTTTTGAATCAGGTGTGCTAGGTGAGGGTTGGAGTGAAAACCTACAGGATGGTAGCTTTCGAGGAACAGGGTTGGAGAGCCCTGCCCTACACTATGAGTGAACAGTGTAGAATTTTTGCAACCAGGAAATGACAGCTATTTTCACTAGATAACACAGCCACAAAGTCAGAACATTTTGACAACAGATGCCGCTCCAGAGAATATTGATAAAAGTCACCTTATCCGAGAGCGATTTACATGGTTATCAAAATGTCACACACGAAACACAGACCTTATTTTAAGTGTTTGTAAAATCTCCTATGGGAAAAATGAATGGTAGAAAAACGATTGGAACCATTTCCCTGTTTGACCACTAGGTTTTATGGGTATTATGACACCACCACTGTGGGGCTTTATTAGCGCCCAATATATTATGGACATTGTCTGAAATTACAATGCAAAAATAAAAATATATCTTATGTGTAGCACCTTTAAACTACACTAAGTGAAGTGGATTGACACCTGGTAACAAAATTGCAGAAACTGAATTTCATCATGGGTCCCTGAAATGTACTACACAGAAATGCATAATTATGGATGTGAAAGTCATTCTCTTCATGATGATGTATCCTAAATAGGTACACAAAGGTAGAATATGCAATATCCTTCTTTGCGTATTTGGGTATTATTCTACAGACTGGCTATTATTTTAAAGATGCACTATGCAGAAATCTCTCCGCCATTGCCTGGTTGCTAAAATTCTAATAGTTCGCTTAATTTCAGTTTATGTGACAAAACAAGCAAGTATAGTGTAAAGAATCATTGTACAGTCTGAACTGCTGTGAAATATATTTTCCATAACCAAAAATATAGTATTTTCAGCTGTTTGAAGCTGGTGTAGAAAAACGAAAGTAAAAGACTCAAAAACAGAACTTAAGAACGGGAAGCATAGAAACAGTGCACAGATGTACCGCATCTTAAACTTGCTTTCAATGAGAATGACAGATCTATAACAAACACTTCAATGTGAATTTGGTAAGGTTGCCCAAAAAGTTACATATTGCAGCTTTAATGAGCTCCGCCACCAAACAAGAACACATGTTGTTGGTCTGGACTGGGCCAAATCTGAACCTATCATAAACGTCTATGTTTCATAAATTTGGACATCAAAGTACATCACAGTAAAGCTCAGTAGGGTACAGTATTGTACAGTAAAGTAGAGTATAGTACATTGTAGTGTACTCCACTCTAGTGTGCTCTACCATACACTGTACTATACTGCCCAAACTTGGGAAACATAGATGTCTATGATTGGTTCAGATTTACCGGACCAAATCTGAACCAATCATGGACGTCTATGTTTGAGCCAAATGAATGCTGGTCCAGACGTCTGTGGATATTGAAATCAAGGCCAAGGCAGACTGACCAAATTTCAACTACTTGTCAACGTCCATGGACGTCCGGTGTTGACTACTACGATTTCCCATTGTAGCCAATTCAATTGCAGAAATACCATTACAGATTTTTGGGAAATTCTGTTACCGATTTTGTAACAGAATTTGGAGTTTTAATCATTTAATAAATCATAAACAAAGTTGATATTAGTAAAAACACTATAACTAATTGATAGGTCTACCTTATTACTTCTGTGAACTTTCATTATCCTCCCTCATGACGGAGAGAAATTAGAAAATATCTTAAAGATATGTGGGTGTTTGGTAACGGAATTTCAAGGCACAAGGCAATGTCTACTAAATCTACTAAACTAAATAGGTGTTTATTTTAATTGGCAGGGGTCTTTACTTAAACATTATAGTGTTTTGATCACAGGAGGTTGGTGGCACCTTAATTGGGGAGAACGGGCTCGTGGTAATGACTGGAGAGGAATAGGTGGGATGGTATCAAATACATCAAACACATGGTTTCCATGTGTTTGATGCCATTCCATTTGCTCCGTTCCGGCCATTATTATGAGCCGTTCTCCCCTCAGCAGCCTCCACTGGTTTTTATGTATTTCTAATACCTTTAAAGTTTTTTTCTGGTCAATGTTTTCAAGTTTGACAAGAAGTCAAAGCCTTTGGTTATTCCTAATTTTTAGGATGGAAAATTGTTGGAACATTTATACAGTGAGGGATAAAAGTATTTGATCCCCTGCTGATTTTGTATGTTTGCCCACTGACAAAGAAATTATCAGTCTATAATTTTAATGGTAGGTTTATTTGAACAGTGAGAGACAGAATAACAACAAAAAAATCCAGAAAAACGCATGTCAAAAATGTTATAAATTGATTTGCATTTTAATGAGGGAAATAAGTATTTGACCCCCTCTCAATCAGAAAGATTTCTGGCTCCCAGGTGTCTTTTATACAGGTAACGAGCTGAGATTAGGAGCACACTCTTAAAGGGAGTGCTCCTAATCTCAGTTTGTTACCTGTATAAAATACACCTGTCCACAGAAGCAATCAATCAATCAGATTCCAAACTCTCCACCATGGCCAAGACCAAAGAGCTCTCCAAGGATGTCAGGGACAAGATTGTAGACCTACACAAGGCTGGAATGGGCTACAAGACCATCGCCAAGCAGCTTGATGAGAAGGTGACAACAGTTGGTGCGATTATTTGCAAATGGAAGAAACACAAAATAACTGTTAATCTCCCTCGGCCTGGGGCTCCATGCAAGATCTCACCTCGTGGAGTTGCAATGATCATGAGAACAGTGAGGAATCAGCCCAGAACTACACGGGAGGATCTTGTCAATGATCTCAAGGCAGCTGGGACCATAGTCACCAAGAAAACAATTGGTAACACACTACACCGTGAAGGACTGAAATCCTGCAGTGCCCGCAACGTCTTCCTGCTCAAGAAAGCACATATACATGCCCGTCTGAAGTTTGCCAATGAACATCTGAATGATTCAGAGGAGAACTGGGTGAAAGTGTTGTGGTCAGATGAGACCAAAATGGAGCTCTTTGGCATCAACTCAACTCGCCGTGTTTGGAGGAGGAGGAATGCTGCCTATGACCCCAAGAACACCATCCCCACCGTCAAACATGGAGATGGAAACATTATGCTTTGGGGGTGTTTTTCTGCTAAGGGGACAGGACAACTTCACCGCATCAAAGGGACGATGGACGGGGCCATGTACCGTCAAATCTTGGGTGAGAACCTCCTTCCCTCAGCCAGGGCATTGAAAATGGGTCGTGGATGGGTATTCCAGCATGACAATGACCCAAAACACACGGCCAAGGCAACAAAGGAGTGGCTCAAGAAGAAGCACATTAAGGTCCTGGAGTGGCCTAGCCAGTCTCCAGACCTTAATCCCATAGAAAATCTGTGGAGGGAGCTGAAGGTTCGAGTTGCCAAACGTCAGCCTCGAAACCTTAATGACTTGGAGAAAATCTGCAAAGAGGAGTGGGACAAAATCCCTCCTGAGATGTGTGCAAACCTGGTGGCCAACTACAAGAAACGTCTGACCTCTGTGATTGCCAACAAGGGTTTTGCCACCAAGTACTAAGTCATGTTTTGCAGAGGGGGTCAAATACTTATTTCCCTCATAAAAATGCAAATCAATTTATAACATTTTTGACATGCGTTTTTCTGGATTTTTTTGTTGTTATTCTGTCTCTCACTGTTCAAATAAACCTACCATTAAAATTATAGACTGATCATGTCTTTGTCAGTCGGCAAACGTACAAAATCAGCAGGGGATCAAATACTTTTTTCCCTCACTGTATATGCCTTAATTTCTCAAAAATATAGACTCTTAGCATTAATTTGACACCCAACTTCACATGTTAGTGCTCATGGGTCCTTTTACATTGAAAATGAATTTATGCCATCTTTCTACTTAATCTACATGGTAAGGAATGAATGATGTCAAAACACTATAATCACCTCTTTACTGTGCCCTGTACCCTACTGTGCTCTACTGTACTGTACTCTTTACTGTACTGAACTCTACTGTACTCTACTGTACTGTACTCTACTGTACTGAACTCTACTGTGCTCTACTGTACTGTACTCTTTACTGTATTGAACTCTACTGTACTCTACTGTACTGTACTCTTTACTGTACTGAACTCTACTGTGCTCTACTGTACTGTACTCTTTACTGTATTGAACTCTACTGTACTCTACTGTACTGTACTCTTTACTGTACTGATCTCTACTGTGCTCTACTGTTCTGTACTCTTTACTGTACTGAACTCTACTGTGCTCTACTGTACTGTACTCTTTACTGAACTCTACTGTGCTCTACTGTACTGTACTCTTTACTGTACTGAACTCTACTGTGCTCTACTGTTCTGTACTCTTTACTGTACTGAACTCTACTGTGCTCTACTGTACTGTACTCTTTACTGTATTGAACTCTACTGTGCTCTACTGTTCTGTACTCTTTACTGTACTGAACTCTACTGTGCTCTACTGTACTGTACTCTTTACTGTACTGAACTCTACTGTGCTCTACTGTACTGTACTCTTTACTGTACTGAACTCTACTGTGCTCTACTGTAACGTACCTGAATTGTCTTACAGGAAACCACCGAACATTTCGGTTGTGATGTAACTGATACAACAAGCACTAAAGCTGAAACATCACAGGAGACACAGTTTCCCAGTGTGAAGAGGTCTCTTCAGCAAGGTGTGCAATTTTGCTCTGCAGGATCTGAGATCCTGACAGAATTTTCCATTATAACTTATAATTTTTTGTAAATCATTCTGTGAGACTTTCTGCCAGAGTAAGAGATTTGTAAAGTGGCGTCTATTGTTAAGATCAAGGATGAATAACGAAAACATTTTGTACCAACATTCTGCCCTTTGCCTTAGTGTACTTGGTCAGCCAAATGTAGTTATTCTGTATTCTGTGACACAGTTGAATAGGATAGCAAATGCAGCTGCAGACATCTCATGTTACATGATCTGGGGCTTGGGTGACAGATGTTGGGGCAATAGACACAAAAATAACAGTCTTTCAATGTGCTATGTTGTGGATTATGGTAAGTGGGTGTTGTTTTACCACGCTGTGCTTGGAAATGGAACCAGTTGGTTTGCATATTTTGTATAAGGCATGTTCAGACCGGTTTGGACTGTTTTCTGTCAGGAAGTGTTTTTGATAATCCTGCTAAAATGAATTTCACAGCTCACTTCAACCTGCACTTTTGACAACAACAAAAAAAACGTAGCCTTTCACTTAGAATACTCAGGGCTCTTGTACAGTGGATTCGGAAAGTATTCAGACCCATTCACTTTTTCTACATTTTGTTACGTTACAGCCTTATTCTAAATTGGATTCAATTGTTTTTTCCCCTCATCAATCTACACACAATACCCCATAATGACAAAGCAAAACCAGGTTTTAGACATTTTTGCAAATGTATTAAAAATAAAAAACAGAAATATTACATTTACATATGTATTCAGAAACTTTACTCAGTACTTTGTTGAAGCACCTTTGGCAGCGATAACAGCCCTGAGTCTTCTTGGGTATGATGCTACAAGCTTGCTGCCACCACCATGCTTCACCGTAGGGATGATATTGGCCAGGTGATGAGCGGTGCCTGGTTTCCTCCAGACGTGACGCTTGCCATTCAGGCCAAAGAGTTCAATCTTGGTTTCATCAGACCAGAGAATCTTGTTTCTCATGGTCTGATAATCCTTTAGGTACCTTTTGGCAAACTCCAAGCGGGCTGTCATGTGCCTTTCACTGAGGAGTGGCTTCCGTCTGGCCACTCTACCATAAAGGCCTGATTGGTGGAGTGCTGCAGAGATGGTTGTCCTTCTGGAAGGTTCTCCCATCTCCACAGAGGAACTCTGGAGCTCTGTCAGAGTGACCATCGGGTTGTTGATCACCTCCCTGACCAAGGACCTTCTCCCCCGATTGCTCAGTTTGGCCGGGCTGCCAGCTCTAGGAAGAGTCTTGGTGGTTCCAAAATTATTCTATTTAATAATGATGGAGGCCATTGTGTTCTTGGGGACCGTCAATGCTGCAGACATTTTTTGGTACCCTTCCCCAGATCTGTGCCTCGACACAATCCTGTCTCGGAGCTCTACGGACAATTCCTTCGACCTCATGCCTTGGTTTTTGCTCTGACATGCACTGTCAACTGTGGGACCTTATATAGACAGGTGTGTGCCGTTCGAAATCATGTCCAATCAATTGAATTTACCACAGGTGGACTCCAATTTGTAGAAACATCTCAAGGATGATCAATGGATACAGGATGCACCTGTGCTCAATTTCGAGTCTCATAGCAAAGGCTCTGAATACTTATGCAAATAAGGTATTTCTGTTTTCTATTTGTAATACATTTGCAAAAATGTCTAAAAACCTGTTTAGGCTTCATCATTATGGGGTATTGTGTGTAGATTGAGGGAATTATTTATTATTTAATCCATTTTAAAATAAGGCTGTAATGTAACAAAATGTTGAAAAAGTATTGGGGTTCGAATACCTACCAAATGTAAATGTAAATGTACCTATTTTTCTTTGTCCTCGTCAGCTATTTTGCCTTTGTGTTGATTTTGAGTGTTCGTTTCCCCCAGTGTTTGAGTGTGCCTACGACCAGCTAGTCCTCCCCTGGTACTGCGTCCCTAAGCCCCGTGACAGTCAGCTCCTGCACCAGGTACTGTCGAGGGAGTTTGACAAAGTCATCGATCTAGTCATCAGCAGAGGCAAAGACTTTGATGTCTGTGCTGCAAGTGTGGGCTGCATTCGCATCCTGACCCAGCACCTCCATAATGCCAAACAGTCTGATAGGTAATACAGCTCTCCTGAAGTCACTAGTAGAATATCAATAGAAGCAATTGCTTTTGTCATCACCCATATTGAGTTGCCGTTCTACAGCTATATTGCTTGCCTATACTGTTGAAGTGGTTTATGTATATTTTATTGTTTTGGATAAATCATTAACATCCTCAGTTCTGAATTTCAAACTTTTATTGGGTGTAATGTTGTTTTTTTTATATGGATTTCATGTGACCTAGGGTACTATGCAAGTTGTCACATGATGGAAGAATGGCCTGTATTAAGTATTGAGGTGATAGAATTTCACCAATCTAGATATTATTGCTCTCTTTGTCATTATTCCAAATAGACAATTTTTATTCATTTTGTCTCTGTCTGTTTTGCTCTCTCTCTTTCTCAGAAAACCATTGTTCTGCTCTAGAGGAGAGGAGGTTGAAGTTCTCAGAGTGTTCTCTGAAGCACTGGTGCGAAACCTTTTTCCTCAGTCCCTATGGGGACTGGCAGTCAGCCACTGTGCCTTAAATGAGATAGTTGCCTTAAAAGGTAAGCCCCACAATATAGGCCTATCAGTGCCTCATGTATTCTCTCAGCACATTGCTGAACTTTTGAAAATGAGAACAAATTAGCACGAAACCATTATAATTCTTATAATTCTATCAAGATGAGTAAAGGATAGAGATTGGAAATACTGCACGTGCTGTAACTAAAATAAGGTCTCTCCTTAGAGGAACGCTAACACAGTGTGTTATTGAAACCTGCAGATAAAGTAGAACAACACATTTCACTGCACCTATCCGGTCAGTGTCTTTCAGTGGCTCTGATCACAGGAGCCAGTGAAACGGGTTGAACGATTACATTTATGGCTTAGTAATGGTAAGGGATTTTACTGTTGTAGATAAAACATTCACTTCTGTTTTCTGCACCTGTAACCTTTATTGAGTCTCAATAATGTTCAGTGAAACTTGACCGTTAACACCATCTTTTTTTGCCTGGGAGACGTGGATAATGGTGGATACTGGAAGTGGCCATTAGTATAAAAGCGAAACAAGTGGAAAGGGTCTCTGTAATGGTCTGTTATTCTGAGACAAAGTGTGTCAGCTTTTTACCTATGTATACTGAACAAAAATATAAACGCAACATGCAACAATTTCAAAGATTTTACTGTGTTACGGTTCATATAGGGAAATCAGTCAATTGAAATAAATAAATTAGGCCCTATTCTATGTATTCCACATGACTGTGAATACAGATATGCATCTGTTGGTCACAGATACCTTGAACAATATGTAGGGTAGTGGATCAGAAACCCCCATTTGCCTCATGCGGTGTGACACATACCCTTCACATAGTTGATCAGGCTGTTGATTGTGGCCTGTGGAAGGTTGTTCTACTTTTCAATGGCTGTGCAAAGTTGCTTGATATTGGCGGGAACTGGAACACGCTGTCGTACACGTCGATCCAGAGCAACCCAAACATTCTCAATGGGTGACATGTCTGGTGAGTATGCAGGCTATGAAAGAACTGGGACATTTTCAACTTCCAGGAATTGTGTACAGATCCTTGCGACATGGGGCTGTGCATTATCATGCTGAAACATGAGGTAATCGCGGCGGATGAATGGCACGACAATGGGCCTCAGGATCTTGTCACAACATCTCTGTGCATTTAAATTGCCATCGATAAAATGCAATTGTGTTCATTGTCCGTAGCTTATGCCTGCCATACAGTGAGGGAAAAAAGTATTTGATCCCCTGCTGATTTTGTAAGTTTGCCCACTGACAAAGAAATGATCAGTCTATAATTTTAATGGTAGGTTTATTTGAACAGTGAGAGACAGAATAACAACAAAAAAATCCAGAAAAACGCATGTCAAAAATGTTATAAATTGATTGGCATTTTAATGAGGGAAATAAATATTTGACCCCCTCTCAATCAGAAAGATTTCTGGCTCCCAGGTGTCTTTTATACAGGTAACAAGCTGAGATTAGGAGCACACTCTTAAAGGGAGTGCTCCTAATCTCATCTTGTTACCTGTATAAAAGACACCTGTCCACAGAAGCAATCAATCAATCAGATTCCAAACTCTCCACCATGGCCAAGACCAAAGAGCTCTCCAAGGATGTCAGGGACAAGATTGTAGACCTACACAAGGCTGGAATGGGCTACAAGACCATCGCCAAGCAGCTTGGTGAGAAGGTGACAACAGTTGGTGCGATTATTCGCAAATGGAAGAATCACAAAATAACTGTCAATCTCCCTCGGCCTGGGGCTCCATACAAGATCTCACCTCGTGGAGTTGCAATGATCATGAGAACGGTGAGGAATCAGCCCAGAACTACAAGGGAGGATCTTGTCAATGATCTCAAGGCAGCTGGGACCATAGTCACCAAGAAAACAATTGGTAACACACTACGCCGTGAAGGACTGAAATCCTGCAGCGCCCACAAGGTCCCCCTGCTTAAGAAAGCACATATACAGGCCCGTCTGAAGTTTGCCAATAAACATCTGAATGATTCAGAGGAGAACTGGGTGAATGTGTTGTGGTCAGATGAGACCAAAATTGAGCTCTTTGGCATCAACTCAACTCGCTGTGTTTTGAGGAGGAGGAATGATGCCTATGACCCCAAGAACACCATCCCCACCGTCAAACATGGAGGTGGAAACATTATGCTTTGGGGGTGTTTTTCTGCTAAGGGGACAGGACAGCTTCACCGCATCAAAGGGACGATGGACGGGGCCATGAACCGTCAAATCTTGGGTGAGAACCTTCCCTTAGCCAGGGCATTGCAAATGGGTCGTGGATGGGTATTCCAGCATGACAATGACCCAAAACACACGGCCAAGGCAACAAAGGAGTGGCTCAAGAAGAAGCACATTAAAGTCCTGGAGTGGCCTAGCCAGTCTCCAGACCTTAATCCCATAGAAAATCTGTGGAGGGAGCTGAAGGTTCGAGTTGCCAAACGTCAGGCTCGAAACCTTAATGACTTGGAGAAGATCTGCAAAGAGGAGTGGGACAAAATCCCTCCTGAGATGTGTGCAAACCTGGTGGCCAACTACAAGAAACGTCTGACCTCTGTGATTTCCAAAAAGGGTTTTGCCACCAAGTACTAAGTCATGTTTTGCAGAGGGGTCAAATACTTATTTCCCTCATTAAAATGCAAATCAATTTATAACATTTTGACATGCGTTTTTCAGGATTTTTTTTTTGTTATTCTGTCTCTCACTGTTCAAATAAACCTACCATTAAAATGATAGACTGATCATGTCTTTGTCAGTGGGCAAACATACAAAATCAGCAGGGGATCAAATACTTTTTTCCCTCACTGTACCATAACCCCATGCCATCATTGGGCACACTTTTCAGAACATTGACATCAGCAAACCGCTCGCCCACACGACACCATACAGGTGGTCTGTGGTTGTGAGGCCGGTTGGACGTACTGCCAAATTCTCTACAATGTTGGAGGTGGCCTATGGTAGATAATTTAATGTTAATCTATCTGGCAACATCTCTGGTGGACATTCCTGCAGTCAGTATGCCAATTGCATGTTGCACGCTCCCTCAACTTGAGACATCTGTGGCATTGTGTTGTGTGACAAAATGGAACATTTTAGAGTGGGCTTTTATTGACCCCAGCACAAGGTGCACCTGTGTAATGATCATGCTGTTTTAATCAGCTTCTTGATATGCCACACCTGTCAGGTGGATGGATTATCTTGGCAAAGGAGAAATGCTCACTAACAGAGATGTAAACAAATTTGTGCACAATATATTTTATCTCAGCTCATGAAACATAGGGCCGTTTATATTTTTTAACATGGTTTTATCACCCTACCATGTGGTTTTACTCTGTAGTCCGTATCCCATCACATTGACTTTGTCATCCATACCCTCAGTACTGGACCTGCTGGTGCGGTGGCTCTCAGACCCTGACAACCTCAACCAGCTGGTGGTGAGTCAGCTGGATGGAGTGACCCCCGAGAGCTCTGTGGAAGAGTTGTGTGAGTTCTGTTCTGACAGGACCTCTCCAGCCACCCTGGAGAGCCAGGCCAATGGAGCGTGAGTAGACTTTTTCCTACCAGGCTGCCTCTCTTTTCTTTAGTAAACACACTTCAGTGCTGTTAGGGTGCAGAGAACACAGAAATAAATTGTGCTTTGGTTTTGTTTGGTGGCCATTTTAGAACGCAGGAAGAAACAGAGGATGCTCAAACTAGTGACAGCAAGTGCAAAAAGAAAGGTGAGGGTGTGTAATTTTGAAACAATCACTAGGCTAATGAACTTGAAAATGTTGAGTTTGTTTGACAAAAACAAAATTAACTGGACCAAAACGAAGTAAATTTTCTTTGTGTGCAGTTAATTCTGTTTGTTCTATGATTATTTTTTTCATGTTTGTTTTGTTTCCCCTGTGCCTTAAAGTTATCTCGGTTTGCAGTCAACTTGTGACATAGAAAAGGCCATGAAAAATGTTGACATTTAGCTAACCGGATATGTGTGTTTTTTTCCAGCCAACAAAGTGAAGGAAGGCTGGTCTAAATTCCTTGACAAGATGAGATTGAAGAAAGCTAAAAGGGAGGTTAAGAAAAGGGAGCAGGCGCTGGTTATCAGGGCCATGACTATCCGGGGTCCACCATCAAACGGAAATGAAGGGGCTAGCCGGGAGGGCTCCATCCATAGCCAGCAGGACTCTGACATTGTATGGACACTGCACCAGAAAGAGCAGCTCTGCAGTCATCATTGCACTATTCACTCTGCTCGACTCTTTAAAAAAAAATAGCAATACTATTGATTTCAGACAGTACATGTTTTGCCATCTATCCAATAGAAGATTATTTCATATTATTATAGCCTTATTTCTGAATGCCCTCTATCCACCCCAAACATTGCTCTATTTATAGTCTGAAAACGTTAAGTATCAAACTGAGGATGAAATATAACACGGCTGACATTTTATTTTGTCATTGGTTTGGTTCACCAGGAGGACAGTGATCTGGAGAGCTACTTGAACAGTGTACAAGAGGATATGATGGAATTCAAGTTGTCGTATGAGATGTGGCGGCTTGGCCACTGGGCTGTCAGCGTCCCTCGTGTGAGTCACTAATCACACACAAGTCACTGTGGAATGCTTTGAATGCAACTACTGTTAGTTGCTGAGCTGTGTGAAAACATGTCCTTGGTCGTTTTGTTACCTGTTAATGTTTGAGCCAGTAAGATGTTACTGTCTGTAGGTGGAGAGGGAAAACGAGGAACTGTGTTTTACAGTTCACCTGGAGGAGAGGGACAACCCTGAGAACCTTCACTGGAATGTGAGGAAGACCCAAACAGACATCATCCACTTCTGCAACCTATGGCAGGTTAGGGAAGGATGAAGAGGGAGATTGTATTGTTGCAATTGTGTTCCACAAGGTACCATTTTACTATGTAACCTCATGGCCATTGAAATTAGGTAAAGCCGCTATGCTGTTTGGTATTGAATTTTGAGAAATGGGACCAATGCATCAAGTTGTACATATTCATAGAAGAAGTGTAACTTCCACAGCCACAGGAAGTAGGGGTGCTGAGGGTGCTGCAGCACCCCCTGATAAATCACAATTTAAAAAATAATGTAATAAAAATATGAATATGCACTAGGCCTTACTCCTGTATTACCGCACCTCCCCCATCGACAAAAAGTTTAGCACCGACACCCCAAAACATCTTCCCACGGCCATGGTAACTTCCTTATTTTGTTGTGTCTCAAGATGACAAAACCACAGCACTGTTGTCAAAACAGACTGCTGCAGAAGTTTTGAATGGAGCAGATACTGTACTGTTTAATTGATCTCTGACATCTTATGGATGTCGCACAATTAGATACGACCAATGCTAATAGTCTGAGTGTATAGTCTCTTTTGACACTAGTCTCTCTTTTGCGTCCTCAATATGGGTCCAGATTTACATTTGAGTCATTTAGCAGACACTCTTATCCACATATCATACACTTATGTCACATCATCATTCTTAAATATATTTTATTATCATTTTTCCCTTGTTTGGATTGTTTTTTTAGGACTCTAATTTACCCTCCCTATCCGTGTTAGAGGAGAGCACTGAGATTAACATCGATAAGGATTTTAAAGAAGCCAGAACATCCCTCAAGCTCTTCTTACAGGTACACTGGCACACTTCATGCACAAGCAGAAATGCACACAGATAGGTGATTCGATATGATATAAATAAATGTCCTCTCCAGGAGCTGGTGTCGGATGCTCTGATGGGCCACACTCAGCCAGTGTTTCAGTTCCTGTGTCCTCTGGACAAGCTGCTGAGTGAAGAGGAGCATGTGGGGGAAGTGTGGGGCCTCTTCAGTGGCCTGGCCTACTTCCTGACTCCGGGCCAAGAGGAAGATGAGGTAGGCATTTTAATAACCTCCCGAGTGGCGCAGTGGACTAAGGCACTGCATCGCAGTGCTAGCTGTGCCACTAGAGATCCTGGTTCGCGTCGTCCAGCGTCGTCCAGGGTAGGGGAGGGAATGGCCGGCAGGGGTGTAGCTCAGTTGGTAGAGCATGGCGTTTGCAACGCCAGGGTTGTGGGTTCGATTCCCCCAGTATGAAAAAAGTAAAAATTATGTATGCACTCACTAACTGTAAGTCGCTCTGGATAAGAGCGTCTGCTAAATGACTAAAATGTAAATGTAAATGTTGAGCAAGGCCTGTATTGTGTCAGTGTCACCACAAATGGCAAATGATGCCCTCTGCTGGTGGATTAAGAAACCAAGGCAGTTGTGAATCTCCAGCAGTCAGTCAGTATTTTTGCACCAGGTATTTCCATGACTTTCAAAGACATTTGGAAGTAAGTATTTTGACTTTTTTTATTTTATTTGAAAAACAAAATACCGGGCCTCCCGAGTGACGCAGCGTTCTAAGGCACTGCATCGCAGTGCTAGAGGCGTCACTACAGACCCGGGTTCGATCCCAGGCTCTGTCGCAGCCGGCCGTGACCGGGAGACCAATGAGGTGGCGCACAATTGGCCCAGCATCGTCCGGGTTAGGGGAAGGTTTGGCCGGCCAGGATGTCCTTGTCCCATCGCGCTCTAGCGACTCCTTGTGGCGGGCCGGGTGCATGCAAGCTGACTTCGGTCGCCAGCTGTACGGTGTTTCCTCAGACACATTGGTGCAGCTGGCTTCCGGGTTAAGCGAGCAGTGTGTCAAGAAGCAGTGTGTTTCGGAGGATGCATGGCTCTCGACCTTCGCCTCTCCCGAGTCCGTACGGGAGTTGCAGCGATGGGACAAGACTAACTACTAATTGGGGAGAAAAAGGGGTAAAAAGTTGAAAAATACAAGAAAAACTAAATACCCTGTGTATTTTCAAATACTAAATAAACACTCTTTATGCATTTGAACCCAGGTCTGTTTGGTATTTTAAATAATGTATTTTAAATATTTTCTAATAGTAGGCTTTTTATGGGAAATTATTAGAAAATACCTTGAACAGAAGTAGTAGCTAGTTGATTTGGGCCACATTATTTAAACATACTCAAATAGACCAAAAACAGTCATTTAAATAATAAATAATCAAATATACATGTATGTGAACCCAGGTCTGCAATGCACATTGCATTTTTCAGGACAAGCATAACAGCCTTGGAAGAGGGACCAAACCAGATGATTCCACCCCAACGGAGGCTGCAGACCCAACTGCAATTGAGAACCTGGATGGCGATACAAGGGATAGCCCGGTCCGGGGCCCTTCTATCATCATCTCCCAATGTGATGAGGATTCTCCTTCAGAACCCAGTTCCATTGAGTGCTGCAGAGATGACGAGACCGAACCAGTAGAGAAATCTTACGTTTTGGTTAATGCAGACAAAACCGAGGACAAAACCAAGGAATCAGAGAACACCATCACTTCTCACCTAAAGATGGTAATCAAAGGGCTATCTAGATCTATATCAGAGGAGTGTCTGGCCCAAACGAAATCAGACACCCCTGAAGACCTGACTGACTCTTTCTGTAGACTGCGACGTTCCAGTCATAATGGAGGCTCGCAATTTGACCTCACTGACAGTCCATCGCATCTTCTCGGTGGAAAGTCAAATAAAAGTGAGAAACTCACTTTCAAAATGTCAGGAGGGATCCACAGGAGTAAAGGAAATGACATGGGGAGTCAGTCAAAATTAGAAGACTCACCGTGTTTGAAAAAGGACCAATCCAGCTGGGAGCAAATGGAAGCAACCAAAGCCATTTTTGATTTGTTGAAAGCAATATCTGGTTAGTTCTAACTTCCTAATTTGTTTGAAATTGTATACTGAACAAAAATATAAATGCAACATGTAAAGTGTTGGTCCCATGTTTTATGAGCTGAAATAAATGATCCCAGAAATGTTCCATACGCACAAAAGTTCTCAAATCTTGTGCACAAATTTGTTTACATCCCTGTCAGTGACTATTTCTCCTTTGCCAAGATAATCCATCCATGTGGCATATCAAGGAGCTGATTAAACAGCATGAACATTACACAGGTGCACCTTGTGCTGGGGACAATAAAAGGCCACTTTATTATGTGCAGTTTTGACACACAACACAATGCCACAGATGTCTCAAGTTGAGGGAGCATGCAATTGGTATACTGACTGCAGGAATGTCCACCAGAGCTGTTGCCAGATAATTTAATGTTCATTTCACTACCATAAGCCACCTCCAACGTTGTTTTAGAGAATTTGGCAGACCACGTGTAATCACGCCAGCCCAGGACCTCCACATCTGGCAGCTGTTGGAACTGTAGGTTTGCACAACCGAAGAATTTCTGCACAAACTGTCAGAAACCATCTCAGGGAAGCTCATCTGCGTGATCGTCGTCCTCACCAGGGTCTTGACTTGACTGCAGTTTGTCGTCGTAACCGACATCAGGGGGCAAATGTTCACCTTCGATGGCCACTGGCAAGCTGGAGAAGTGTGCTCTTCACAGATGAATCCCAGTTTCAACTGTACCGTGCAAATGGCAGACAACATGTATGACGTCGTGTGGGCGAGCGGTTTGCTGATGTCAATGTTGTGAACAGTGCGCCCCATGGTGGCGGTGGGGTTATGGTATGGGCAGGCATTTGCTACGGACAATGAACACAATGAGCATTTTATCGATGACAATTTGAATGCACAGAGATACCGTGACGAGATCCTGAGGCCCATTTTCGTGCCATTCATCCACCGCCATCAACTAATGTTTCAGCAAGATAATGCACGGCCCCATGATGCAAGGATCTGTACACAATTCCCAGTTCTTCCATGGCCTGCATACTCACCAGACATGTCACCCATTGAGTATGTTTGGGATGCTTTGGACCGACGTGTACGTGTTCCAGTTCCCGCTAATATCAAGCAACATCGCACAGCCATTGAAGAGGAGTGGGACAACATTCCACAGGCCACAATCAACAGCCTGATCAACTCTATGTGAAGGAGATGTGTTGTGCTGCATGAGGCAAATGGTGGTCACACCAGATACTGACTGGTTTTTTGAAGGTATCTGTGACCAACAGATGCATATCTGTATTCCCAGTCATGTGAAATCGATAGATTAGGGCCTAATTAATTTATTTCAACTGATTGATTTCCTTATATGAACTGTAACTCAGTAAAATGGGCCCCGTGTAGCTCAGTTGGTAGAGCATGGCGCTTGCAACGCCAGGGTTGTGGCTTCGATTCCCACGGGGGGCCAGTATGAAGAACAAAAAAAGAAAAAAATGCAATGTATGCAAAACAATGTATGCACACTAACTGTAAGTCGCTCTGGACAAGAGCGTCTGCTAAATGACTAAAATGTAAAATGTAAATGTAAAATCTTTTAAATTGGTGCATGTTGCGTTTATATTTTTGTTCAGTGTAATTGTAGATATTTATTTTAATTAAAGAGTCACCTTTGAGGATGGTTATGAATATTAATTACATTTAATAGTGTGTAATAATCAGTGCCCTACTTTGCCCTCCAGGCAATTCCATCCTCCTGAACATATTTGATGCGATTCTGAAACCCGTCATGCCGATATTGAAAAAGTAAGAGCTGTGAAATATTATTTAATTTTCCACTGCAGTCCTGGTTCGTCATACTGACAGAATAATAGGATGATCTACATTTGTCCTTTTGAGAATCCCAGCATGACGTTTTATAATATTCTCTAGGAAAGTGAACAGCTTCTTGAATAAGATGAACCCAACGGAAGCCCAGATTGCCTCCTATATCGACAACCTGCGTGAGAAACAGTGGCCCGAGGGCTTGCCGGAGGTGACTTGCCCCATACCCCATCGCAGCAGTGAGGAGAAGAATGAGACCAAAGACAGAGCTCACCACCTCATCAATGCCAGATGTACATGATATACACAGTGTTTTTCTATCGAAATGTTTTGAATTCTGCTTTTCATGCTTGGACAGAAATTTGAGAAGTGTGTCACAGTTCACTAACATCATGTTCTCATTTTAGATTCAAACTATTTAATCTTGAAGAAGACAGATATGGAGACAGCGTTTAAGCTCTTCCAGGACTATGAAGAAAACAAGAAGCTGGTATATGTGCGTATCTAGCCTCTTGAGTTTCTGTGGAGAGCACTGGAAGAGAGAACTCTGGTGTCAAGATCCCAATGTCCTCTCATCAAAGTTGCAGTGCTGTGTCTATATTTGATTTCTGTCAAATGTCCTAAAAATGTCTAGACTTTCTTGTACAGTTTTGTAGAGATGTTGATTAATCTTCTGCTTCTCTTTATTTTCAATAGATGCTGCTTTCATTCCTGTTGAGAGAGCTTCTGCCAGGTGAGGATGCCCTTAATGTGAGTGCCATAACCCTGCAGAAAGTGAACGTCAACTAACTCATTTTTACAGTGGCTTGCAAAAGTATTCACCTCCCCTTGGCATTTTTCCTATTTTGTTGCCTTACAACCTGGAGGGGGGGGGGGGGGGGGGGGTTGTATCATTTGATTTACACAACACTTTGAAGATGCAAAATATTTTTGTGTGTGAAACAAACAAGAAATAAGACAGAAAAACAGAACTTGAGCGTGCAAAACGTTTCACCCCCCCCCCCCCCCCCCCCCTTTTGCAGCAATTACAGATGCAAGTATCTTGGGGTATGTCTCTATAAGCTTGGCACATCTAGCCACTGGGATTTTTGCCCATTCTTCAAGGCAAAACTGCTCCAGCTCCTTTAAGTAGGATGGGTTCCGCTGGTGTACAGCAATCTTTACCACAGTCGTACCACAGATTCTCAATTGGATTGAGGTCTGGGCTTTGACTAGGCCATTCCAAGACATTTAAATGTTTCCCCTTAAACCACTTGAGTGTTGCTTTAGCAGTATGCTTAGGGTCATTGTCCTGCTGGAAGGTGAACCTCCGTCCCAGTCTCAAATCTCTGGAAGACTGAAACAGGTTTCTCTCAAGAATTTCCCTGTCTTTTGCGCCATCCATCATTCCTTCAATTCTGCCCAGTTTCCCAGTTCCTGCCGATGGAAAAACATGGTGTTCTCGGGGTGATGAGAGGTGTTGGGTTTGCGCCAGACATAGCGTTTTCGTTGATTGCCAAAAAGCTCAATTTTTGTCTCATCTGACCAGAGTACCTTCTTCCATATGTTTGGGGAGTCTCCCACATGCCTTTTGACGAACACCAAACGTGTTTGCTTATTTTTTTCTTTAAGCAATGGCTTTTTTCTGGCCACTCTTCCGTAAAGCCCAGCTCTGTGGAGTGTATAGCTTAAAGTGGACCTATGGACAGATACTCCAATCTCCACTGTGGAGCTTTGCAGCTCCTTCGGGGTTATCTTTGGTCTCTTTGTTGCCTCTCTGATTAATGCCCTCCTTGCCTGGTCCATGAGTTTTGGTGGGCGGCCCTCTCTTGGCAGGTTTGTTGTGGTGCCATATTCTTTCAATTTTTTTATAATGGATTTAATGGTGCTCCGTGGGATGTTCAAAGTTTTGGATATTTTTTTATAACCCAACCCTGATCTGTACTTCTCCACAACTTTGTCCCTGACCTGTTTGGAAAGGTCCTTGGTCTTCATGGTGCCGCTTGCTTGGTGGTGCCCCTTGCTTAGTGGTGTTGCAGACTCTGGGGCCTTTCAGAACAGGTGTGTATATATACTGAGATCATGTGACAGATCATGTGACACTTAGATTGCACACAGGTGGACTTTTTTTAACTAATTATGTGACTTCTGAAGGTAATCGGTTGCACCAGATCTTATTTAGGAGCTTCATAGCAAAGGGGGTGAATACATATGCAGGCACCACTTTTCTGTTATTTATTTTTGTTGAAGCAAGTTATTTTTTTCATTTCACTTCACCAATTTGGACTATTTTGTGTATGTCCATTACATGAAATCCAAATAAATATCAATTTAAATTACAGGTTGTAATGCAACAAAATAGGAAAAACGCCAAGGGGGATGAATACTTTTGCAAGGCACTGTAGATGTTCTCAGGTGAATCATGCTTTTAAATTAACTTTAGTTCAGTGCACTGTAGTTCTGATGTTTTAGAAAATGTTACTATTTTATTGGTTGTCAGGCCTTACAACAGTCCCATTTAGTCGCATTTAATCCATGTCTACACCTGATTGGAGTATTATAATAAAGAAGTGTTATGATGCATTTCCAGGAAAATGTATTTTACCTCATGAATTAAACATGCTGTGAATCATGCCTATTATTTAAAATGTATCATGTTGACTATGAAATAAGTTGATCTCGATTATGAATTTGGCAACATTGGCAAATTAACGTGTGGTTATTCAAGTTCAAATATCCTTTACCTGTGTAGAAAATATAAATATTTGCCATCGAGATGGTAACGATGTACTCCATTGTCAAAGTCCGAGGTACCATAAATGTATTTTTATTTCGATGGTTTGAATAAAACAATGTACTGGTAGGGACAAACAGAGCACTGTGAATAAAATGTTAAAGTTTTGTCCAAAAAGTTTATGATCACTGAGCACATTCAGAGTTGATGGGAGATGTATTAGATGATAAGAAGCATTTGACTGAAGTTGTTCATATTGTATGGTATTGGGTTTGGAGAATTGCCAGTAATTATACGTGCCTTTATCTGTAATTTAGGCTTTACCATGACTTTTTTTTCTAAAAGAAAGCTTGTGAAGCAACTGAATGTGACAATTTGGTGTTGATGTGCCTTTTTAATAAAGCCATTTATATTTCTGGTATTACTGAGTTTTAACTGTCTTTCTCTATGTTGATCATTATTAAAGTTCACAGACCAAAAAAAAGGATAATTAAAGTGGCAGTATGTAACTTTTTGGGCGACCTGACCAAATTTACATAGAAATGTGAGCTATAGATTTATCGTTCTACTTGAAAGCAGAGCGATTACTGCATAGTGCAGCTTTAAGAGATCAAATTAGTTGTTAAGACTTTGTAGCTATGCCAAATGATGATACCCAAACCAAGAGAATACATGCTGGTGGGAGGAGCTATAGGGTAGACTCATTGTAATGGCTGGAATGGCATTCTGGGAACTGAGTCAAACGTGGTTTCCATATGTTTGATATCTTTCTATTGATTCCATTCCAGCAATTACAATGAGCCCATTCTCCTATAGCTCTTTTTTTTAAATGAGAAGGTATATGAAGATACTTATGTCTTATATCTTCTTGATTTGATAGCACCTATTGTAGGCCTAAATCATGAAAAATTTAGAGCTCAATGATCTAGCTCTGCTCAATGTATCATGTTTAGCGCTACTCTGCTCTGCTGAATGCTCTTGCCTGCAATGCTATTCTTCAGTTAGCCTCCAACACATTAGTTGGCAGCATTGTTGGTGGCGCTCTCACCAGTGAGTGTTTCTGGTTCATCCAAGATGGCTGCGCCCTGAGCGTTAGGTAAATTGTAAAGTGTGAAGGTGCTTCTGCTTTGAGCATTGAATAACGGACAGGTACGGTAAAAGGGAGACTTTTTTTTAAAACTTCCATTTAAGTGTCTGCTAGCTAGATTAGTTTGTCATCTCGTTTTATTGTGTATATTATTTACCTACAGTTAGCTAGCTAGCTAGCTAACGATAGCTCCTATTCTGCAATGTAGCTAGCACGAGCTGACACTAACTAGCAAAATGAGAATATTAGCTAAATGTGTGCGTCTTTGCGCTGATGCTCAAACCTGTATTGTATGCATATTTATATGGTTGAATTAGCAGGACCACCGTGTTTCAGTTGCATTGACGAGTAGCTAAGTGCATTGTTTGTCAATAATCAAATAAAACACCAAACACACTTGACAGACATCAAGCCTTCTATCACCGTGACATCACTCGAACTCTCCAGTACAGTATCAGTAATGTACTAGTTATTTGTCTTCCGTCTTTGAAGAACTGAAGGGAATACAAAATGGTATTTGCACCTGAACTAACCACCTCTCCCTGTCTCAGTAACGGTCCTTGTCTTCTTTCCTTCATTCTGCACTCATCTAATAACACTGAAAGCAATGGTAGATGCTAATTGGGAATTAGCTTTACACTGCTTCTCAGCTCATTCTCATCAGTGTATATGAGGGAAAAGAGACGAGGGAGCCTGGGGTGTATTCATTAGTCGGATTACATTGCAAAACGTTTGGTCTGTAACAAAACGTTTTGCACCAAAAACCGTTTACCATTTACTCCAGGGGTGTCAAACTCATTCCATGGAGGGCCTAGTGTCTGCAGGTTTTTGGTTTTTCCTTTCAATTAAGCCCTAGACAACCAGGTGTGGGGAGTTCCTTACTAATTAGTGACCTTAATTCATCAATCAAGGACAAGGGAGGAGTGAAAACCCGCAGCCACTCGGCCCTCCGTGGAATGAGTTTGACACATGTGATTTACTCTGAAGTAAACGGGTGTATTCATTACGTCTTGCAACGGAAACGTTTACCGTTTTAGGAACCAAATAGAAGCTCTCGTTTTCTTTGCTAAACGTTTTCCGTTTGGAGTAAACTGTTTCAATTGGAAAACATTTATTAACATACCAAATATTTTGCAACGGAATCTGGCTAATGAATACACCCCTAAGGTGCACCCCTAGTTATAATATAAGGTCTGAACAGGACCCCATGGGCTTGTTCAGGTAATTGAAACATGCACCGCGCTGCAGATGTAAACTGGAGCAGCCCCTGAGGCCTCATTTATAACCGTTGCGTAAATTTCGCACTAAACTATTGCGTGCACCATTTCTGAAAAGTCTGCGCATACCAAAATATTGAGATTTATTAACTTGGCGCACGCCATTCATACGCATGTTTCCCGTTATAAATCAGAACTGTTGTAAAACTGTGCGCGTGGGAACGAGCATTGAAACTCCACCTTTTATGGTGAAAATAATGCCCTTTATTTGCTGTATAATTTTGGAGCTATTGGCATTATGCCATGACATGCAAAATACGAATTGTTTAATATTTACATTGCCTTCAGAATGTATTCATACCCCATGACTTATTCCACATTTTGTTGTGGAACAGCCTAAATTCAAAATATATGTTTTATTTATTGTTATTTCACCCATGTACACACAATACCACATATTGACAGTGAAAACATGTTTATAGAAATTTTTG